TTAATATATTTGATGGTTTTAAAAAAATTGGAAAAAGTTTGGACAACTAGGTTGAAGCGTATAAAAGACGGCGAATGTATATATATATATGGGAGGTCGTATTTACCTGGGCCTCGACTCCTTCTATACATTGTTGCACTATATATCATTTACTTATAAGTTTAATTATTTACCTACTTGTCGTGACAAAACTAAAAAGTTTAATTTCATTAGCGCAGATGTTAAGGAGACATATACAACTGTACCATATAAGCTTAATTTTCAGGTGATCTTGCTGCTTTCGTGGGAGAAGTCATTCAAGCATTTTCAGCGAACAAAATTCAAATAAGTCATGTCGAAACTAGAGAAGATAAAATGGGAAAAGGTAATCTTATTATTCCCTAAATTTCCCCTTCAAAATGCATTCAAAAGAAAAATCAGGAAATGGGTCGTAATTTTGAATGTGACTCAAGGCATGGAAAGAACTTTCTCCAACATTCCATAGCCCCAGAAAACTTTTGCAATAATTCCTTTTGCATTTTCATTTTCAACTTGTTGTAGTTTTTATTACCGCTAAAATATGGAAGGATGTATTAATGGATTTGGATTCTACGGAATTGTTCTCAATTAGCTCATATTGTGGCATACCGTAAGAATGCAAAGTCTTTGCTTATTTATTTCAGGTTGGGACTTATTGGTCGACTGTGATGCAACGAAGGACCAATTGATAGCGGCGGCTTCAACTTTGACGAAGGAACATGTGGAACTTACAAGCTTCGCTCTTTACAAAAAGAACGCTATTGAGGAGGGTATGTAGAAAGCTCGTCTAGAAATACTACAATCATACTTAAACTATGTGTTATTTCTATAAGAAACTTATCATTGTAAATGCAAGAATCACGCCTCTAAAGAGCAAACAGAGAAATACATTTGTTGTTGATGTGATTTTTTTTCCAGTGCCATGGTTTCCGCGACATATATCTGAGCTTGACAAATGTTCCCATTGCATCACGAAATATGATCCTACAACGGATCCCCGCCATCCGGTAAGAACATAACGTCTATAACTTATTCCAAATCGAGAATTTTGTGGTAAGGGGAAAAATGAAAGAAGTCTCCATTTAGCTAGTACACTAACATAATTTTCAACTTGTACTAATAGAGTTTATAGCATCAATCTCCAAAACAAATTCCAACCATATATCTCGCCTAAATTTCAGTAAAAGTGCCAGAATTTTTGTTGGAGCTTTATTTAGGCTTACCAAGCATTGCCGTTAAATCAATAATTAAAAGCTGATTTTAAATTTAATTTTGATTTTTCAAATATAGCACAAACATCCTGTTGGCTGATTCGAAACTGTCTTCCAAGAAACAACCGACAATTTATTGTATTACAAGAAGAAGTGAAATTTTCTTAGAAAAAAATTGTTTCCGACGCTGACCAAGGCCACTTGACCAACCATTAAATAGGACTAATGCACTGGCCAATACTGTATATGCGTGGAACTACAAGTGCAGCATATACACTGAAATTAAGCTTGCTATTTATTCAAATGTTTATTGCTGCGTATTTAGGGCCATGGCGATGCTACTTACATAGCTAGGAGAAACTTTCTAAACGATCATGCAATGGAATACAGACAGTGAGTGTTTTTAGAAGCTTTTAAACAGTATCTCACATTTTCTTCAGTGGCGATCCAATACCCATCGTTGAATATACTGAACTGGAGCATGCAACATGGAAAGCGGTCTATGAGAAACTACGAGGACTTCATGAGAGTCATACTTGTCTAGCTTATAGGTTAACCTTATTTCCTGATTAATGAACTAAAAATTAAAGGAAGATAAGAGGAAGAAATGTGTTGTAGGAGAAACTTGAAGATGTTGGAAGACGCTGGAGTGTTGTCCCCAGAACGGATTCC